CAGATGCTGTGCAGAGGACGGTGACCCAACCCATCAATCATTCCACACACATCAGTTAGCTTTGCTGGATTGCAAACCAACCCAGAACTTACTTAAAACAACACCCAAGTGATTGGCTCATGATTTGCAGGGGCAGCAATTTGGGCTGGGCTCAGCTGGTAGATTTTTCTGGCCTTAGACTCTCTCACGTATTTGGGGTCAGCCTCAGGTCAGCTAACCGTCTCTGCTCCTGAGGGTTGGCACTCTCAGCTCTAGTGATGGGTGACTCTCTTAATCTAGCAGGCTAGCCTTGGCTTTGTCACCAGGTGCTGGGCAGGTTTCCAGGTGAACATGTGGCCTCTTGAGGCCTAGGCTCAGAATGGTCACATTACCTTGGTCACATATTTCCCCCACAATCTAGTGGGCAGAGCAAGTCACAAGTCCAGCCCAGATCCAAGGGCTGGTGTGTGGGGGTGTAGACTCCACTTCCTGATGGGCAGAGCTGCAGCTGCACAGTGATATTGCAGAGAAGCAGGGACATGGGGAGCAGGGGTATCTGTACCTCTTCTTGCAGACAATCTACCATACTGCCCAATGCCTGTCGCTGGATCTGACCAGACTAGCAACTTGTCCTTCTACCATACAGCTCAATGCATGTCGCTAGATATGACCAATCAGACGAGCGACTTGTCCTGCTGTACAGCTCGATGCACGACGCTGGATTTGACCACACCAGCAAAGTGTCCTTCTTCATGGGAGGAGGAAAAATAGGCATGAAGGTCCGTGCAGGAGAATGGAGGGCGCTACGTTTCACCTGCTGCCCATGAAGTCTTCTGGGCTCATTTCCACGTAGGCGGAGGACAGCGGGCTGCACTTTCTGCATTCGCTGCCTAGTCCTCCTTCTGTGGTATCATCTTTCCACAGGCTCCACCAACAAGCTTCATTCCTGCAGTCAGAGCCATTCTAAAATAAATTGGAATTGCTGAGAATCCAAGCTGGAAGTGTAACTAACCTGCTGGGACCCCCACCCGGGAGTGAGACTTTTAAATCAATTTGGAAATTGCTTCCATGTAATATGAATGGACTTGGTAAGGGAATAGAAATCTCTGCCAAATCCCTATCGTGAATAGGATAAAAAATAAGATTAATCTGAAAGCAGCAGTCAGCAGGCGCTTACTTACCCTGGTTTAGACAGCCAAGAGGACAGAAGATTGTGGCGTGCTGCAGCAGAACGAGAAGGGCTTCGGAGTCAGACAGACCTGGCTGCACGTCCTGGATCTGCCGCTAACAGTTGTGAAGCTTCGGCCATGTGGCTTACTTTGCCTGAAACTGTTGCTAGAGTGGGACAGTAATGTTGTCAATGTCGTCGCTGTGCTGGGCTGCCGGAAGCATTCGCGATAATAGGTGTGAAGCATTTTGCATGGAGAGGGGACAGGAAAGGTGGCCCCAGGCACCTATGTCCTGGCAAGGGTCTGCTGTCTGCGGAGCTGTCAGGGCCCCTTGGCCAGCTTTCCCAGAGGGCGGGAGTGTTTCCATGGTCATTACATACTGGCCTTTGGTCTCAGGTGACTCATTACACAGATACGGTCAGAGCATATAGGCATTTTGGTATCCTGCTTTATTTCACTTAATACTGTGAGCATTTTTCATATTGCTAGAGCCTACATAATTAAAATGCATAATAGCTGTGAGCAGTAAGACTGTACACATCAGGCAATATTTAGGTTGATGTTTAGGTTGTTTCTAACTGTTCGTTGTTAGAGATAATGTTGCAGTGGAGCCCCCCCCCCCCCCCCGCCCCCCTAGCCTAACCCTAGCTGATCTTCTCTTTTCTTTGTTTTATTGGCATCTGGGGAACAGGCGAGGGTGG